CGACAGTGCTGAACTAAGAGATTTAAAACTAGTCCTCGAAGTTCTGGCCATTGCAACACCCCCGCGATCATGTAAACAAAATTTGGGCGCCTGGCAACCAGTTCATGCTTACGCCCAGTTGCAGTGTCCCTCAGTCACATGATTACCATTTGCAACCTTCCCTGCTGGCCTCCCCCAAGCAAAATCAATGGGAAGCTGTCAAGGAAGGTCACAAGTTGCTGGATAAGTCTCTCCCCAACCTTTCTTCGCTCGCACGGACCACACCCTCCTTCCCCAGCCTCCCTGTGCTTGCACACACATATGCACGCACCCCATGCCCTCTTTCCTTGGCCTCCCTATGCTCATACACATGCACCCCACACCCTCTTTCCCCAACCTCCCTGTGATTGCATACATTGCATCCTGCACCCTCATTCCCTGGCCTTTCTGAGCTTGCACTGCACCAAGTGCCCTCTCCCCCAAGTCATGCATGGCCTACACTGAGCCTCCTAGGGCCACCCCACCCCCTTGCAGCACCCCTGCACTCCTTACCTGAGACTTCCTCCACTCCCTGCTTATCAACCCACACATCTTGGGTTACAGTGACAACCGGGACTGCCTGGATTGCCCTCACTAAGTGATGCAGTCACATGACATCATGCTTTATGACCGCATCGTTTAGCGACAGCAATCCCAGTCCCAATTGCAGTCATAACTCAAGGACTACTTGTGCCTGAACTACTGTTTCCACATAAAGATACTTTTTTTTTACCTTGCTTTTGTCTTTCACTCAACAGGGAACAGGGAACAGGAACTGGTGGTAACAGAGAAGTGAAAAGCAGTTCCCTCAGTGTCTCATAAACTACTTTATCCAGGTATCACCTTTTGGTAAGTATGCTATAATCAAATTCACTTTACATGACAGTGCCACTCAAGTACATACTATAGAACAGGGGTCCCCAAACTCTTCAGCTCATCAACCCCTTCATGAAGTTTCAGATTGTTCATTGACACCCCCCCCAAGATTTATTATATGAAAATTATTTAATAAATACTACTTTAATAGTACTATGAATAACAACAACAACATCAACCCCTTGGATAGTCACATTGACCCTTGGGGGACAACATTGACCACTTTGGAGAACCCTGCTATAGAACATTGGCAGTTCTGATTGTCTGGGTATGGCTTTGTCAATCTACTCATAGCCAGCACTTCAGATCCTCCATTTGTTGAATTGGGCCATAAAGTCAATTCCAGAAGTCTGTGTCTGTGTCATACCTGAAGCTTTGGCTGGAATCAAAATTATGTGGCCAGATTATAGTTTTTAATTATTTCAAGGTAACTGTTTCACATGCATAATGGTTACTGAACTGTATATGTATGTGAAATGTGGATGAATCTGGTAAAGCAAGCAAATAAAATTAGACTGTATAAGAGAGTTTATTGTGTAGGTGTTCACTCATCAGTGCTGAGTCATATGCAAAACTATTTCTGGTGATCCAGAATTTAACAGAATGGTATCTCAATTTAGTGCATACCCTAAAATTCAAACTAAAGAATTAGACTGTGGTTCAGGTCATGATGTAATAGGTCGTACCCTCTCTATATGCATGTGCAGTATCATTGTAAAAAATGCATGAGACCTCTGGGAAGATCTTTAATGGAGTAAAAGGTAGCTAGATAAGTGAAATATTGTATTCAGCATGTCCATATTCCTCAAGTGACAGGACATTTTAGAGGCAACCTTCTATATTTTATTGCAAAGAGATAGAATTGAAGGGCTATGATGGTTCTGCAGTATTATCAAATTGGGCACAGGGAAATAGGAAAACATCCAATGGAGGATGTTTAGCTTCTCTAGAAGCAAACTATGTGCAGTGAGAATCCTTCCAAGTTTTTATTGCTAACTAAATGCAGTCTTTCCAATTATTATCTCCTTTGTTAGTTCCCCTTTTTCCTCCTCAGATCCTACATGGTAAGATATTGTTATTAGCCAGGAGACATCAGCCATGAAAAGATTATCTTCATATCTTGCCTGGTCATAGCAATACAATATAACAATACTTTATGAACTGTAGTTTCTCCAAAATTCATATTGGATTGTGACATGCACATATTTCATTTCATATGATTTATTTATGTGTTAAATTTGTATCTTCTGGAGTCATGTGAGGTAGCAAGTCACTAACTATTGCACAAGTATGATTTGGAATGAATGATTGTGTAACTGCTGCTAGTGGTATGGGCTGGATTAACATACCCCAATTCTTGAAGTTAAAAAGAAATGTTTAAGTAATAGGGTTTCTTTTTCTTTTCCTATCAGGAAATCATGAACTATCTAGTCATATAATATAAAATACCAGATTCTTTGGTTTCAGTGGCATTTGTTCAAAATGTGTTCAAAAGCCCAGTGTGAGAAATCAAGATGTGTTTTATGTGTGAATGTTTACATCATGTAAAAGATGGATATGTAGCAAGCAACATTATGCCCTGTAGGATTTTCAGCACTTTGATTGTGAGCCCAGATAGATGTGCTGAGTCTTGCTGAAATTATTTTAAAAGTTCATTTATTATTCAGTTCACTTGCTGTCAGAGCCAAGAGGTAAAGCCTTGAGCTGTTTTTCTGGAACATTGTTCTTCAGTACAGCCTGATAAAAATGGATTTGGAGCAGACGACTACAAGGAATGGGGGAAGGAGAGGAAACGTGTAAGAGTTTTCACATCGGAAAGAGCACAATCACTGCACTTCCTTAACAATTCCCAGCCCTGTTCATCCCTTCTTGGAATCGGCGTCGTGATTTTTCGGGTACCCTTTCTAAACACTAGCTTCACCTACGTGCCCTCTGCTGCTTCCTAACCTCGCGTCTTCTTAAACGTACCATTTTTATCAGAACAAAGCCCCGCAAATGGTTCCGCCGGGAACTATATGGGGGCCGTCTGTGTGCCATTGCGAAAGACACACGCTATTGAAGCCGACCCACAGAACAGCTGCATCTGAAACTCAATGAGAGTTGCCTTCCAGCTTCTGTCACTGGAGGCAATACGGCGCTGGGAAAGGAGCGGCATACAGGCTGCTCCAATTAACCCGGTACGCCATTTGCGCAATCTACCCTTCCAGTTGGTTTTCTACGCAGGAGAGAGGAGGTGTTCGTCTTTGTGAATCCGATGCTGCACTGCGGCGCTGCTTCCCGTCAACCAACCTCTCCTCCTCCCCCTCCTCTGCTCTGGGCCCACCTCCCTTGTTCGTTGTGATTGGCTACTCCGCCAAAGTCTCTGCCGGCGATTGGAAGCCGGCTTGTTGAGGAGGGCTTAGCTGCACGCTGTGTAATAAAGTTAGTGGGGCTGTCTCAGTACGCATTAGAAGCGGCGGCGAGTTGGTCCGATCTATATGGAGGTGACGGAGGGAAGTGCTCGGTGGCTGCTGTGGTGATTCAGAGATCCGTCCTGCCGTTCGTTCTCTCCCCCTTCCCTCTCCCAGCCCCGATCCCCGGCTCCCTCTCCCCCTCCCTTTTCTCGCCTCTTCCCAGCCCTCGCCGCCGGTCCCGGGGACGCTGACGAGGCTCTAGGGAAGGTGAGGAAATGGCAGCCGTTGGCTAAGATGATAATCGGGGGTAGAGTCGACGACGCTGGTTCTGCTTGGACTTAGGAATATTTGAGGCGAGTGACGAGCGAAGGCGGCTGAGGAAGAATCGGCAGCTGGTATGCAAAATGGCGGCTACCTAAAATCGCGGCCATCTTGTCCTCGGTTCTGCACGTTCGCCGAGCCATAAAATGGCGGCCGACACCGGTCTTTGCTCAGCCGGCGTCTGAGGAGAGACGGAAGCGGCCGATTAACGCGTGAAGGTCGTGGCTGTAGTACAATCGAGTCCGGTGTCGAGATACTCCGATTCTTACGTTGCCTTTTTCCCCCCCTCGTGGCTGGACGAATAGAGAATTTACTGTTTTTCACCGATGGCTCCCATTATTCCATGGGAAAGGGAGAGAAAAGTGCATCTGGCCTCTAAGTGGAATAGTTGTATCAATTTCGGCTCCACCGCTCTCCGCCCCGCCCGGGAAACTTGCAACCATACCGCATCTCCGTTCCTGGGGGCTGGATAGCCGGCGACTGCGGGTCGGGCTGTGAACCAAGAACAAAGGCTGGGCCTAGTGTCGGGGGTGCGCCTGAGCCTGGAGTCGGGCGGTGCCCAGTGGCGGGTAGGAAGGGATCGAGAGTGGCCTAGGGATGATGCTTGGAGCAGGCTAGAGCCTGTTCGAGGATCCGCGGAATTAAACGGAGAGTTTTCTTGGGTCTTTTGTTCGGCTGCGACACGCCATCTCGCCCGCCTTGCAAGGTAGATCGGTGGCGGGAAGAATAAGAACCATGGATGTTGCAGATGTGGTGGTCCTCGGTAGGACTGGACCTCTTGTGTTTTTAGTTTAGTTGGAAGAGGTCTCATTAAAGCAGATAGAGCTGCAATTTGAAGACTTAAGTTTGATACAAATAGGATCCTTCCTGAAAAAGTGTGTGTGTGTTGGCTTCCGCTTTCTTTGCTATCAGAAATCCTGACTGTTGATGTTGGAAGTGTTATCAATATTGGGTTGAATTTCATCAAATTACATATGTTTGTTGATCAGGTTTATAAGTACATGCTATGTTGGGCAGCAAAATATTATATGCCCTATTGTGGATTTTTTTTAACATAGGTAATAGACAATTCAGATTTTGGTTATGTACAGCATTTCTTGTGAAATACTTTAAATGTATATAATATTTAAGTCCTTCATGGATATATTATGTGGAGTTAGCAGGAGACAAGGTTGACTGGGGAGATGCAGATGTGGAAGGAACTTGGGCTTAGATGCCAAGTAAGATTCTTGGCAATTCCAGAGTGGCAAATTGTATGAGATTCCAGGAAATTATAATTATTTAGACTCTGAATACCAAAATCTTTAGGAAACTATTTCAGTTTTAGTCTTGGGGGGTTAGTATTATTGGAGCCTTAATCAAAAACTTACATTATAAACTCTTGCCTTTTAGGTTTTGTTTTTCCCTATCCTGTCAATTTATTATTCTTTTGAAGATTCTTCATTGCCAAGCCGCCAAAGTGGAGAGTGCGATTGCAGAAGGGGGTGCTTCTCGTTTCAGGTAAGTAAAACTTTTTGACAGTGAAACAAATGGGAAGACAGAGCATCTCTGTCTGAAGAGAATTTTCTTAGCCCTCTGCCTGAAGAGAATTTTCTTAGCCTTTTAAGAATTTCTTCAGTTAGTCATAAATAATAAAATTAAGTACATGCCTTAGCATGTGTATTCCACTAATACAGGAAATTCTGGTAACAGAGTTTCTAAGCAGATTATATATTAAAATGGAACAAACAAGTGTTTCCTGTGTATTTGTAGTATCCTTCATGAAGATTATGTCCTTCATAGAGACTTGAGAATAGAATAGAACTTTATCTGTTTTAACATCATATAAAGAATACTAGTTGATTCAGATAAATGATCTGGCTACCAGAAAATAGTAACTTGTCCAGAAGGAAAGAACTAATTCTCTGGGAAGTTTTGTATCACAAATCATTAGGTTGTTTACAAAATAGTTCTGGTTGAACTACAAAATCTTGCTTTCCTGCATGCAAAACAGAAATTCTTTAACAGTTATTCTTTATTTCTAGTGCTTCTTCGGGCGGAGGAGGAGGTAGGGGTGCGCTTCAGCACTATCCCAAGACTGCCGGCAACAGGTAAATTGGCATGCTAACTGAAGAGCTGTCTTGGCTATTATATGAATTTCTGATGCATGCTTTAATTTATAAAGTTAAATTCCATTGTAAGTAAGTGATAAATTGAAGGACTGTATGAAACTAATCAGTGATCAGTGTTTTGTTCTTTTAACTACTTCATGTCTTAGTATTTTTAGGTTTTTGTCTAGTACTCGTTTATTTCTAATGGGGCATGCATGAAAGCAAGAATGTTTCAAAGGGGCTGTGTCCCAGTGGAATGAAATTCAAGGCATTTTGAGTATTCCACAATAGGGAACAGTTGAAATTCAAAACAGCTTCCTTGCTTCCTCATTTCTGTCTTAGGACCGCAAGCATAAGTGTATGGTAATCCATGCTGAGTCCTACTTACCAGCCAAACTCCAGGTATGCAGCAGTCATTGGTCTAGTGTAATTTCTGATGCAGAGTTATGTGGCCTGAGAGCCATTGCATCCTATCTGGCCAACGCATATCAATGACTCTGAATGTTTGGATAGCTGCTGGTTGACTATAGACTGAGGAAAGAGAGTTCAGGCACCCTCCAGTAGTAGGTCAATAAAGTTAAGCAGAAGGAGATTAGCCTTGAGGAAGATCAACTGTTCCAGCAAATCAGCATTTGAGATGAATTATAGGATGTCACCTATCCTAAAGAACTTCCCATCACATTAGAATTTTGGTTGGAGGATGTGTTACATGCCATTAAGCAATCTTTGCCCAGTCTGGTCAGATCCGCATATTAGCCACCCAACCATCTGCACACTAAAAGAGTACAGAATGTTGTACTTTGGAGGAGGAGCCAGCAGGTGTCTTGCTCATCCTTGATAAGCCAATAGTTTCTCCTCCCCCCCAGTGTGCCAAGGAGAACCTAGTGCTAGAACTAGGCCCTTAGCTGGTATTGCTGGAAATAATGCAAGTGCTAAACATTCCAATATGCTACTGGCTGTACCTAGTCTCTTCCTTCTGAGCCATCACTGCAGTGAGAAAGCCTCTTTACCTTGGGAGGTTACTGACAATTACCTTCCCTGTCTAGCATATAGGTACCATTAGTAAAAGGACTTCAGGTAGTGCACGGTGCCTGCTCTCAGTATGCTTTGCCGCCTTTTGAGTCAAATTTATCCTGGAGCTTAGCCATTCAGAAAAAACAAATGAGCTGTGCTTATAGGGAATGGAATAGAGGATTGCTTGAACAGGCAGCAGTGGATTAGTCCATTAATATCAGTTTTGCAAGTCTACCTGTGTTTTCCACAAAGTAGAAGTCCAGAGATTCCTTAATCTTTGAACATGTAATTAACTGAATCTTCCCCACCCTCTTCCCTTCAACTCGATCCAACCAGTGAGAGCAGAGATGGAATCTGCCTGCACTCCAAACTATTCTCCATAATTTGGAGAATTAAAAACATGCAAATTGTGGAATATTTGAATACTCAAAATGATAATTAACTATCCCACTTTATCTCAAATTTGGAACAAAATGCCAGAGCACAGGGGTGTCTTCTAAATTCATAATACTTGAAATGGTGGTTCCATATATGGAATGCTCCAAGCTCACTGTGTTTTAATTGCTGTTTTAATTCATTGTTAACTATGTTATATTTTGTTATCTTTGCTATATGGTGGGGCTTTTTTTTTTTTACTTCTGGTGAGAATTTTTAGCTGAAAGAACTGTAAGAGAATTGTTCGAATGAATTCAAAGCTTCATATTTCTGCAACAGAATCCAAATATGAATGATATGCAATTAAATAATGGCTATAAAAAGATTTGGGTTACTAAAATTTCAGGCATTATTGGGGTTACAGATTTGAAAACAAGTTTGAAAACAACGGGTTCAACTTCAGTTTATATGGGAACATACTGTAGGACATAACAAATGGATGTTCTTTTTCTAAAATAAAGCGAGTTCCTGGGGAAAACCCCAGGGCAAAACGCTCAGAAATGGATTCCTTCACGAAGCACTAGACGAGATGACGACTCCGCAAATGACAAAGAACGACATGATGCAATCTTCAGGAAAGTAAGAGGGTAAGTTTTGAGGTAACAGAATAACTCTTACGATGTAATTGTGAGTGGAATTTTATAATCCAAGAATTGTCTGGTTGATTCCGATCTGAGGCAAAATACGTACTTGTTTTCCCAGCCATTAATTTCCAATTGATATATTCTTTGTTACAAGGCCATGGTTACTAAAGGTGTTCTTGAGCCCTCTTTGGGAGCAGGATATAAGGAGCCTGCATGGTATAGTGACTAAGAAGGAAGATTGGACATGGATATAGTCTGGTTCAAATCCTCTCTTAGCTATGGAAACTCACTGGTGGCTTTGGGCCAGTCACTCTGTACATCTAAAAACATTGTTAATGGAGATAAAATGAAAGGTTCAATAAATAATGTGAGATGTTCTTTCTGGATGCTAAATCTGGTCCATTAGACTTGTGACTAAGGAAGCTGTGTTCAGCCCACATTGAATTGCATATGTGGCCTTAAGAATGCTTGATAGCCATTCTTAAATTTGTGATTCTAGGCAGAAGTAAAAAAAAACACCAAGTTTATTAAGCTTCTGTATTTTATTCACTTGGATTATGTTTTTGGGTTGAATTAGCATAGTCTAGGCCAGGAGTGAGGAATTAATGGTCATCCAGATGTTGAATTATAGTTCTCAGAATTCATCACTGTTTGTGCTGATAGACCCATTGGACTCTTGACGCCAGTGCCTGCATTGCTTAACATTTTCTCATGTATTTCCTGACTGCTGTGAATCTAGTGTCAAGGTTTTGCATTTTTACTGTGTCCTGCATTCTCTTGCTTTTCACCTTGTATTTGACACCCATTGTTTATTCAGACTCCTACTTTTTATGGCTTTACCTATTCTATCTCATTGTTTAGTCATCCTATCTCTGTATATTATTCTCCATCTATCCTCTTTCCCCTTTGCAGTACCTGTAATTCAGTTCTTCATAGCTTGGTTTTGTCAGAGGGCTCCTCATGCTAGGCATTTCCTACCTTAATACCTTTATTTATTTGTTTATCCCCCCCCCATGAGTTCTCCACTTGTCATTCTCTCAGGTTTCATTTTTTTTCCTTTAGTTTGCTTAACACCTTTGTTTCAGCATCCTTGTTTCTTAGTTTTCTGGGACCTACTCAGCCTGTACTAGTGTATTGTTTTAATTGTTGCCAAACTGACACTTATAAACGGCTTTTAAAGAATATGGTCTATAATCTACATAAATTTCTGAGTAACCAGTTACACAATTAGCCATTTAGAGTCAGGCTTAATTTCCAACAGATTAAAATTAAAAGCTGCTTGCAATTTAAGATTAATACTGACAAAAGGTTTTATAAGTTAAACTGCAATAAACAAGTCAAATCTTGACTAAGACCTGATGTCCTTGTTTTCTTTTCCTTTAGCATACTAAATAAGCTTACTCCTGAAAAGTTTGACAAGCTATGCCTTGAGCTCCTCAATGTGGGTGTAGAGTCTAAGCTCATTCTAAAGGGGATCATACTGCTGGTAAGAGAACATGAATTTATTAGAAAAATACTGTTTTAATAAAAATTATATGGTATGTCAGGTATAATTTGTTCAGTGTTCTTAAAATGTACAGTTTACAGGGTTGCTTAATATTCAGTGTACTGTGAATATGGACATTATACGAGTTGTAGTACAGAAAAGAGGAACTTAGAGAATGAATGATTCTCAAATACTGCACCATCTAGAGACATTCTTTTCTATGTATACTTGTAAGATTACATAAGTCAATTGTGCTTTCTCTTGTATTATTGATAAAGTTGTGGAAATTTCTAAGTGTAAGAGGATACTATCTCTTAGCAAATAGTATTTCTCTGATGTGGGCTGAGGGAAAATGCTGGGCTGGTGTATTTCAGGTGTTCATGATTGTTCAAATAACCATCAACCAGATTCCAAGTTATATAGAAATCAAACATGGAGATGCAGCTTACTTTCCACTATTGTGACTGTTAAAACACATTTGATTTTTTTTAAACGGCCATCAGTACAAGGTAGATTAATGAAATTGTCTCATGTTACATAATTGTTTAGAGGAAAAGCAGGAGAAGGAATCTTAACTACATAGTATTTAAATAAGCTTTTGTACTGCATAGTTGTCATTATTAACTTTTTCATTCCTGTGAACTTCTGAAATTCCAATAAAACTGGATAGGATTACCTGAGATCATTTGAAAGTGCAGCTTTTAAATATTATACAACTTCCACATAATTCATGAAGTCTCTGCTCTCTTAGATCGTAGACAAAGCCCTTGAAGAGCCAAAGTATAGCTCGCTATATGCTCAACTATGTCTGCGACTGGCAGAAGATGCACCCAACTTTGATGGCCCATCCACAGAGAGTCATCCAGGACAGAAGCAAAGCACAGTGAGTATAATTTTCTTTTGAACTAAGGCTCTTATGAGAATTGGTATTTAAGAATGACAAGACATTAAATGTTTGCATTCTAAATCCTAGACATTCAGACGCCTCTTAATTTCTAAACTTCAAGATGAATTTGAAAACCGAACCAGAAATGTTGATAGTAAGTTTTCAAAATACTAGATAATTCTTGATTTGCTTGTGTTTTGTGACAGTAGAGCAGCATCTAATATGTACTTATCTCTATTTTTAGTCTATGATAAGCAAGATGGCCCCCTCCTCCCAGAGGAGGAGGAACAGAGAGCCATTGCTAAGATCAAGATGCTGGGAAACATCAAATTCATTGGAGAACTTGGCAAGCTTGATCTTATTCATGAATCTATCCTTCATAAGTGCATCAAAACAGTAAGTAGTGTTTTTTAAAATTTTTACTATGTAAACTTCTTTGAGATCATAGCTGGTAATGTTGTACTTTGGAAAATGATTAAGTGGTACCTGCTGGTGAATATGTGGTGGACAAACATTTTTAGCAATAAATTTCCTAAAGCAGAAGTTTTTCTGTCTTTTTGCCTTCAGAGTACTATTTCCACATTGCCTAGCACCTTAAGGAAAACGTGTACATCTGTTTCAGAAATCTAGGCAAGTTGTAGGAAATTCCAGGTCATGTTATTGCCAACGTAAAGCACAGGCCAGAACTGAAGGGTCCTTATTACCTTATGGGTAGTTTCATGTGGTTGGATCTCTTATGAGAAGGTTGCTAATCAAAGTTGCCAATTCTGTTGATGTTCTTTTTGAGGAATCCCTAATACTTTCCAAGAGATTCTACAGATGGAATCTAATGTTGGATTCGTTACACGCTAGGCTGAAATGGAATTTGTTTGGGCCTAGCTTCTTAAGTGAAAGCAGCATTTTTCTGCTACCTGTGTTTTGCTACCTGGATGTATGATTTAATGTTATTGTACATCCATGTTACTAATACACATCTGGTGAAAATAAGTTGTAAAAAGGCAGTAAAAATCTTCCATTTATTCTATCATTTCAAATTACCCAGCTTTTGGAAAAGAAGAAGAGAGTCCAACTCAAGGATATGGGGGAGGATTTGGAGTGCCTCTGTCAGATAATGAGGACAGTAGGACCTAGACTAGACCATGCAAAAGCCAAGGTAAGCTGTATAAATACATTTCTGTATTTATGCTATTAATGTTCATCTTTCTGTGCTAGGCTATTGTAGATAAAAGATTGTAGTTCTTCAACATTTTTAACAGCTAGTTTTAATGGAACTTTTAATTAGCAAATAAAAATAAGAGCTATTGTACATATTTTTTTAAAGTTTGTTCTTTGTGATAAGCTATCAGCTTGCCAAACACAATGATTTTTTTTTAACAGTCCTTAATGGATCAGTACTTTGCCCGTATGCGCTCCTTGATGATGAGTAAGGAATTGCCGGCAAGGATTCGTTTCCTGCTGCAGGTAAGAGTATAAAATTGCTTACTGTGACAATTCTAGCATATGCCCTGAGGTTAATGTTCTTCTGTTTTATCCTTGAAGGATACTGTGGAGTTGAGAGAACACAATTGGGTTCCTCGCAAAGCTTTTCTTGACAATGGACCAAAGACTATCAATCAAATCCGTCAAGATGCTGTGAAAGTAAGTATTTCACTGGATGTAAATTTAGCTGTATGGCTCATTAACAGGCATTAATGTGTATTAGGAAGTGCTGCTTTTAATTTGATTTCCAACAAACTTTCTTTTTAAGGATCTGGGAGTTTTTATTCCTCCTCCTTTGTCTCAAGGAATGAGAAGTGACTTCTTTCTGGAGGGACCGTTTATGCCACCCAGGATGAAACTTGACAGGGATCCACTTGGAGGGCTTGCTGATATGTTTGGACAAATGCCTGGTAATTACTGTTATGTCAATAAGGAAGTGGAACTGTTTTTTACTTTCTTTAAACACGTTGATAAAGATATCCTGAGTTGTATATCCTCTTGTTTTTTTATGAATTCAGGTAGCGGAATTGGTACTGGTCCAGGAGTTATTCAAGATAGATTTTCACCTACCATGGGGCGACATCGGTCAAATCAACTTTTCAATGGCCATGGGGGTCACCTCATGGCTCCTGTTCAATCCCACTTTGGAGAGCTAGGCAAATCCTTCTTGAAAAATCCAGTAAGTGGCTTTGATAGAAGCAGAAATACTATTTTTTTAATTTATAAAGTATACATGGCTGCCCATCATACATGCCATAATTCTGAGTGACTTCAAAGCAACAACAGTAAAACATAAGCAATAAAATATCAACATCCCCCTCCCAAAAGCACCCGGCACCCTCAAGCAACACTCCCTACTAATAACAGCAGTCATGTAAAACCACTGTTCCTTATCCTGTTTTTTGGAACACCACTAAGAAGGTCTACTCTCTGTGATTAGCCTTTAAATACTTGAAGACATATGTCTCCTCGCTTTCTTCTCCAGGTTAAACATACTCAGCACATCCATCTGTTCCATATAAGCTTTTTCTTCCAGCCTCTTAACCATTCTCAATTACTCTCCTTTTGACTCATTCTACAGTGGTACCTCGGGTCACGAACTTAATTCATTCCGCGACTCTGGTCGTGACCTGAATCAAATTTTCCCATAAGGTTCAATATAAATACGGTTAATCCATTCTGACCCCTACGAATTTGGTCGCCAACCGATTTTGGCCGCGACCCGAATCAAATTTTCCCATAAGGTTCAATATAAATACGGTTAATCCATTCTGACCCCTACGAATTTGGTCGCCAACCGATTTTGGCCGCGACCCGAATCAAATTTTCCCATAAGGTTCAATATAAATACGGTTAATCCATTCTGACCCCTACGAATTTGGTCGCCAACCGATTTTGGCCGCGACCCGAATCAAATTTTCCCATAAGGTTCAGTGTAAATACGGTTAATCCGTTCTGAGCCATATGTATTTTTTTTTAAAACCACAAAAACATGAAACAAAGTACAA